AACTCTCTAGACTACAATGCACGAATGAGATCGTACTGGTTCTGCGCTGCGTCACGCGCTGCGCAGCTACCCTTATTACGTATTATGATCCTAATCATGATGAATTGACAATATCACATGATTTTCGAAACTTTTTTGGGTGGCTCAATTACTAATTATGTTAATGCAGGCCAGATATTATGTTAATGCTGCCAGATGATATGGTAATGCCGGTCAGATAATTTTATTTTGGGATCATGTTAAAAATCCCGCGCGTGCCCATCTCTAAAAATGAGTATGAATTTACGTATTCTTGGGGAAAATTTTGAGAACACCAGTTATCCTTCAACGGAGGGCGAGAGCATGTTTTAATATACATTTTAATTTTACAGAATGCTTACGTTATAATTAGAGCGTCTGTGCTATATTTTTGGCGTTTGCGCCGAGATCTTAGCGTTTATGATATAGATTTAACGTTACGCTAAATTTTGAGCGTCTACACTGTTACACGTTTAAGGCACCAAGAACACAAAATAATGCAAAATTAATGAATGGGACAAATACAGAAGAATGAAACATGTGACAAAAATTATTCTTTACACTATCCGCTGTTGAAATCATGAATTTACTCTCCGTTTAACCCACGAAAAGAAAATTTCATTTACTTTGTGAAACATTCTAAAATTTACTAATTTGTTTCTAAAATTGAACAAGGCACTACCAATTTCTTACAAGATTAAAATTCGATATAATTTTATTGGTGCATATTAAGATAATTTAAAAACTGATAAAGTATTATAGTTTAAAAAAAATATATAAATCAGAACAACTAAATATTAATCATATTGTATAAAAAGAATTAACAATCTACTTTTGAAACCAATAAATCAATTCCAGAAACTGGTTTAGATAAAACTGTTTCTCCCATTTTAACAGTAAAACCTTCAACCAATCTAAACTCAAAATTTCTAATAAGTATAGATAAAATAGATTTAAGTTCTAAATGAGCCATTTTCATTCCCAAACAATTTTGTGGACCAGCACCAAAAGGTAAGAAAGTATGATTAGTTATTTTTGATTTTATTTCCGGATCAAGCCACCGAGATGGATTGAATTGTTCAGCGTCATCACCCCAAATTAAAGGATTACGATGGATTGCATAAATAGGAATCCATAATGAAGTATTCTAAAAGAAAAAAATTGTAAAGTTAAATACTTTTTCATTATCGAATAAAATTCACTATTCAAAAGTTAATTAGAAAAATACCTTTGGAATAAGGTAACCATTCATTATTTTATCTTTTATGGTAGTACGAAAGAGTGTAGGTACTTTAATTTATAATAAATTAGAATTAGAATAAAATATAGTTAAATAAATCAAAATAAATCAAAATAAATATAAAGAGATATTAAACTATACCAGGCGGAATAATCCTTAAAGATTCTTTATAGACACATTCTAAATATTTCATATGTTCAATTTCATCAAAAGTTGGGCAATAATCACGGTCAATAAGTATTTCAAGAACTTCTTTACGAAGACGATCCTGAACATCAGGATTTTTTGCGAGAAAGTATAATACCCAAGTTAGTGCAGTACTATTAGTCTCATGCCCAGCTACGAGCATTGTCATAACCTAAAGTTTAATAAATTTAATAAAAATTTTATAATATATTTTGTATATTTTATATATTTTAATAATTTTATAAATAGATTCTTACCTGACCAGTTAATTCTTTATGCGTTAATTGTTCATCAACAGGCAAGTTATCATTTGCTTTTACCAGCAATGACAATAAATCTGTTCCTCGAACAAGACTACTTCTTTGTTTTGCAATTAGTCTCTCAGAAATATTATTGATAGTTTTAATAGAATTATACAGTTTTTTATTACTCGATGTTGGAAGTTTTCTGATTGAAGGAAAGAAACGAACAAGAGCTAAGTATATAGACGAATGATTGTTACTAGCTATTGAATTATATGCTTGAGCTAATTCAGATTTTGAAGTAATAGAATTAAATTCGTAATTAAACCCTATTTAGAATAAAATGATATGATTCAATTACTATTAAATTACTATTAGAAACGTCATTAATAAAACTTAATATGTAAAATGAATACATATTAATGCTTACCAACAAGACCAATAATATCTAAAGTTGTCTTTGGAACTAAATCTGTAATTGTAATTTGTTTCTCTTTCTTATTACCGATTTGTTTCATCCAGATATCTTTTAATTTGTGTCCCGCTTGAACGATTGTTGGAAGCATTTCCTTAAAAGGTTAAAATAATAATTAGATATAATGATAAAAAATAATTCTTTACCAAATCGTAATATTAACAATCTTAAAAGAATACCTTGATATTGGTAAAAGCAAATAAAGGAGACATCATTTTTCTTTGTCTTTTGTGAACATTTCCATTAGCAAATAAAATACCTTCACCTAAAATATCCTTGAGCGGAGGTTTATTAAAGATATCTCTCGGATATTCATATGAATGACTTGATAGTATTTCTTGGACAAGTTTTGGATCTGAAACTAAGATATAGGGTTTATTCAATAAGCCATGGTACTTAACTATTCCACCATATTGTTTTACTAAGTGAGAAAAGGCTTCCTTTATATTTTTATTTAATAAAGAAGCATAATGTCCAAGAATAAAATTATCAACAGGTGGACCAGGAACTTTACGTAAAGGAGATAAATATAAGGGATAAATATAACACTTATATAAAATGTAGCTAACGACAGCAATTGCTGCTAAGTAATAATACATTTTTAAAGGTGAATACAATTTTTAAAGTATTTTAGAAACAAATACAATTTTTAAAGTATTTTAGAAACAAATACAATTTTTAAAGTATTTTAGGAGTGAATACAATATGCTAATTTTTCTTGCGACCATCATTTTATACGTTTTTACATCTTAGATTTTTATATTAACGACAATATTTTGTATATTTGAAACTTCAAGGTTAATATTGTACCGAGATTTACATTTTACACAAATTTAGAGACAAATCGGTAAAACGGAAAAACTTAGCTGTACCAAATTGAGATGTTAAAATTCTGGTCCGAGCTGATTATTTAAGTCGACTTCCTACAGGCCTTGACGAGCCAAATCTAGACTCGAGAGGCCGTGTCCCAAACGGTTACCCTATAAAAAAAAATCTCTTAGAATTGTTCGAAAAATTCTGAAATTATCCAATTTTTTGTTCAGAAAATCGACTCCGTTCCGAATATTTTAAAGGATGTTTATTGGATGTATATGTTTTAATATGTCTTTTATACAATTTTTATGCATCTTTTATACAATAATTTTTAATCAAAAATTTTCTATTTTTACATCCCGTACAAGCATTGTAATGAAAACAGTACAAACATAAATCTCTTCGAAAAATCGACTCCATTCCGAACAATTCCTGACAATTTTAGAACTTTTTTTATAGGGTTACATATTAGGTCAGATATGTTGATTGCCGCAATTATTGATGCATAAGCATTGATGAATAGATATTATTATTTAAAAAAAATACACGTGCAGATTGAATCAAGTCTCAGACTCGAGTCGGTTAGAATTTTAGTAGCAAAATCATGATTTTTTGTTTTATCGAACTTTTAGGTTATACTTGATATTGACTATAAACAGCATTAATAGATATGGTTCGGTCAATTCTGCCAAATTTACTATATACAGTATACCCATAAACATAATAACAATTAATATAAACAATAGAAACAATAGAAAAAACTATCCAATCAAAGTTAGGATCAAACCTTCACATGATCAAAAGTTGATTCTAAATGGGATTGGATAATTTTTTATATTGTTTACATTTACAGTAATTATATTTATTTAACCAATCATAGGAGAGATGCAGTATGCATGTACGAATCTGGCTTATCTTTAAATTTAGTACAACAGGCATAAATATTGCATGATGTAATGGTGGTAGT